CTATATATATATATATATAAAGCAAAAGTGTCGTTTGTATATATGTGTGTCCGCTTTTTTTCACAATTTCTATTTTTTGACCCATCTCAACCAAATTTCGCATATACTTTTGGGGATACCAACTGACAACATGGGTGGGTGGGTCTCCATGTGCTCCTTGTACTATTCTATTGATCTCTACTAAACTTTTAAAGCATTCTTAAGACACTGAGGTGGGTCGATGCTTGATTCTAACTTCCCCATTTCCCTCCTCGGAGATCCTAGGATGCGTTCGAACTTACGCCTAAGTGATACTGGTTAATCACGGATATTAAAACCCGTTTTTCGGCGGTATAAGCCTTCAGACTTGTCGCTGATCCACTGGGAGCCACTGGTTAACTGACTTCTCGTTTAAAAATAGTATGTTTCGTGCGCTAACCGCCACGTTGTTCCAAAAACTTGCACGAAAAGCAGTTTGATAAGGTTGAAGCATGTTATTGCATTGGTAAAGATGGCCGATCTTCCACAAACAAACAAATATAATATTTTATTAAACATTTTGAAGAATGCCTTTATTTCAATATATTGTTTTTTAAGTAAATATTTCATGCAAATTTCTAGTGATATTTTTGTATTAAATGTTTTATGAAATAAAATTTTCGATAGTGTGTAATGAACATTTTCCATCAAATCTTTATTTTAGCGAAATTAAGTTTGCTAAGCGATTTCTTTTCATAGACACAGTAGTGGCACCATAAGATTCTAGTTCCATATTAAACTATTCATTCCTCCATTCATAATGATAACTGTCATATATATCATAGTCTGATTCTATGAAGCCCTCAATATCATCACCATTTGAGACACGTAAATTATGCAGCACATATGTAACAAACACAAACAAAGGAATTAAGTTAGTTCGTTCGTATCAAATAGTTTTAATCTTCTTAAACGTCCTTTCAAAGGGACAAGTCTATAATAACGCATGTTGTTGCCTACAGCTCAGTATTGAAGTTTACCTGCTACCTTTTAGGCAGCATATGTTTTAATAACGACTTAAACGTAGCTTTGATCATTCTAAAATGGCTTTTGAAAGTGGTATCACTGCAATGATTTACAACGTTTTCTATATAGCGTCGAACGCGTACTCGAGTGTCGCCCCTAACCCTGAGGCCAGATCTTCTGTGAAGGTTATTCATTGTAAAAATATCAACTATTTCTTCACCCAAGTTATCGATAACTCCTGTAATAAACTGTCCAAACAAATCGACTGCTAATGTTACACTGCGTATATATTTACTTTTTATACTTTGTGTTGTAACTTTAATAAAAATTTGAAAAATGTTAGCTTCTGATTTCCAGCTTCCTTACGTTATTGACCACGGAGCAAGTTGAAT